GCATAGGCTCCTCGCACAACATTCTTTATGTGGGGCAGGCGATGAGTCACAATAACGTCGCTGAAGTATGTTGACCAGACTACACACTAGAAGGTGAAGGGGCGACGACGTTTCGGTCCGTCCTGGACCATTCTCAAGATTTTCAACTTGAAAATTGTCCCAACGAAAACGAACTATAATTGGCAGGAGTGTTCTTTATGTGGTCCTCAGGCGATAGTTTTCTATCTAGATCTCTTTCTTTATCAGAATTCTTTTAAGGATTTCTCACATAATTTATAGGTTGTGTGGGGTCTATGTTCACCTATTCCACATTCCATAACATGGCATTTATTAACATTAAATTTCATTTGCCAAGTGGTGCTCCATATACTTATTTTGTCCAGGTCTTCTTAAAGGGCATGACAATCATCTAAGTTTCTTATCCTTCCTATTATCTTAGCATCATCAGCAAACATGTTCATATAATTCTGTATTCCAACTGGTAGATCATTTATGTAGACAATGAACATCACCGGTGTAAGAACTGAACCCTGTGGTACTCCACTTGTGACATTTCTCCAGTCCGATACATTGCCTCTGATTACTGCCCTCCTTTTTCTACCAGTCAGAAAATTTTTCATCCATGTTAGAAGCTTACCTGTCACCCCTCCAATATTTTCCAGTTTCCAGAACAAACTTTTATGTGGAACTCTGTCGAAAGCCTTTTTTAGGTCAAGATAGATGCAGTAAACCCAACCATCTCTTTCCTGTAAAATATCTGTGGCTCGATCATAGAAACTGAGTAAATTCGATACACAGGATCTTCCAGATTGAAAACCATACTGTTTTTCTGATATTATATAATTTTTCTCCAGGTGTTCTACCTATTTAGTTTTTATTAGGTTTTTCCAATACTTTCACTATTACACTTGTCAATGATACAGGTTTATAATTGAGGGGGGTCTTTCTTGCTGCCACTTTTATAGATTGGAACTACAGGAGTACCTCGGTTTAAGAGTTTAGTCCGTTCCTGGAAACAGCTCATAACCCAAAAACTCGTAAACCAAAGCTAATTGCCCCATAAGAAATAATGAGAAATGAATTAATCCGTTCCTGACTACCCAAAAACATCACTTCAAACTAAATTTTATACCTAATTCATTGCCAGGCTTTGTCAACGAGTTTTAAAGCACTACACGCACCACCATGTGGAGCACACTAAAGCACACATGTTAAAATGGTGTTTCCAGAGCTCTTTGAGGGGCGAGGTTTGTGGCTTCAGTCACTTCAAAACATTTCCGGAAAAGTGCCCTTTCATAAAGTTTCTTAAAAGTCACTATGATTTTCTGGTCCATAGGCTGAATTAGAGAAGTGGTGTTAGGAGGAAGGAACTTTACTGTGAGAAAATTAATGTATCTGTGCAACAATTCATCTTCCAAGCCTGGAGGATGAGCAGGAACATTGTCGAGGAGAAGCAGGGCCTCGAGTGGCAAATGTTTCTCCTGCAGATATTTTTCTATGGCAGGGCACACCACTTCAGTCACCCACTCCGAAAAAGATACCACTTCTTTTTCTAAATTTCTCAAACCATCCCCTGCTTGCCTTAAACTCTTTTGTATCTGCACTCGTTCCAGGGGTTTTCTTTACAAGGTCTTCGTGCAATACTCTGGCTTTTTCACAAATGATGGCCTCCGAAACATTATCACCCGCTAACTCCTTGTTGTGTATCCAAATTAATAACAACTTTTCCACTTCCTCAAGTACTGTATTTGTGGTCTTTGGTTCGTGATTGTTGATATTCCTTTTGCCACTTTAGCACTCATAATGTCCTTTTTCTTGGCAAGTATAGTGCATATCATTGACGTGGATTTGTTGTACTGCCTACAAAGTTCAACAACACGTGCACCATTTTCATGCTTCCAAATGATCTCTTGCTTTTCCTCTATTGTCATCCTCACATGCAATTTCTTGCCTTGAACGTTACCACTGGCTTTCTTGAGACCCATTGCGATATATATAATAACAAATTTTATGCTCAAATAGCAAAAAAATCTGACAATAAATGGTAAATCCTTGTGAAGAATTCAGGCGGGATAGCCACTGGGCACCAGGCACTGGTAAACTGAGCGGCGATCGCCGTGCCATCACGTGCTAGGTCGGCCCGTACGCGTATCAACACCCCTCATATCCTGAGGCAATGTTCGTATCCCGATACAAATTTTCCGAGCAAATCCTGCTCGTAACCTGAAAAACTTGAAACCAGGGGTGCTCATAAGCCGAGGTACCACTGTATGTTAGCCTGTTTGCACACATCTGCTACGACTCCTGTACACAGGGATGCCTGAAAGATCAGGTGAATTGGAATGCTGAGCTCAGATGCACATTCTCTCAGAACCAATGGTGAAACTCCATCTGGGCCAGTTGCTTTGTTCTTACTGAGCTCCTTTAGCATATTTTCCACTTCATCTCTAGACACCTCTATATGCTCTATGTTGTTCTCTGGAATTCTTATTGTGTCTGGTTCTCTGAAGATTTCATTTTATACAAACACACTTTGAAACTTTTCGCTTAATGTTTCACACATTTCCTTTTCATTTTCCGTGAATCTGTTTCCTATTTTCAACATCTGGATATTATCCTTTACCTGCAATTTGTTTTTATGAATTTGTAGAATAGGTCTGGTTCTGTTATCCCTTTTTCAAAATTTCTTTCTGCCTCTCTCCATACTGCCGTATATTTGTTTCTCACAGCTTTGTATCACTGGTATGTTTGGGGGTTTGGTCTCTTCCTATACTGATTCCATTTTTGTGTCTTCTGGTCTCTGGCCCTCTCACAATTTCTGTTGAACCAATCCTGTTTTCTGGCCCTGCATCTCTGTTTTGGTATGAATGTTTGTGTGCCTTCATCGTATATTTTGTCAAATTTGGCATACTGTACATTTCATTTACTTCCCTGCCTAACAACAAGTCTGTCCAATTACACACATTAAATTTTTTTCGAAGTTCCCCATAGTGACCTCTCCTTAAATCGAGTTTATCAACTGTTTCAATGTCATCATTTTCTTCTAGATGACATCTTAAAACATATATAATGTGTAACAGGACGTGATCACTCTTTCCTAAGGAAGGTACTGGATGTCAAATATCTCTTCTTTTTTTCCTGGTGAATACTAGATCCATTACTGACGGTACATCTCCTTCCCTCAGTTTTGTGGCCTGCTTTGTGTGTTGATACAAGAATGTCTCCAGAATGAGGTTCACAAATCTGCATGTCCAAAAAGTCCTCCGTTCTTGCTTCATAGGCCTCCCAGTCTATTGCTTTAAAGTTTAAGTGCCCCCAGTATCAACAGTCGTGATTTATCTTTATCTGCTTGTACAATAATATCTCTCATGACCATTATGAGGCCCTCTCTTTGTCATCCAGTTCTTCCTTTGTCCATGTGTTGCTTGCTGGTGAGCTGTAGGCATTTAAAATTATCAGCTTATCATCCTGATTCCAGATCTGCAATGCCATTATGTCATTATCTCGAGGGTTTTCAAATATTAACTCTTACCTTCAGGTGTTCTTTCACCTGCACAGCCACTCCTCCTCCTCCCTTCCTAGTTTTCCTGTCACGTCTCCAAACTGAATAGCCCCTTGGGAATACGACTTCATTTAATAAATTTCCTTCAAGCTTCTTCTCTGATAATGCGAGAATATCTGGGACCCTAAGATGAATTATGTCTTGCAACTCCAAAGTTTTTTACCTCACTCCATCTATGTTGGTATATACAATTTTCAGGAACATGTTCCCTTTCCCTCTGCTCTTTATCCCCCCCTTCCACTAATAATTTTGTTGCCTTGTTTTTATGTACCATTTCACAAGCTTTTCAGTCCCTGACACTTTGTAGAAAAAAGAATTTCTGCCTTCTTCATTTTTATCCCCATTTAGGCATTTTGCTTCAATGAGGTTCATTTTCAGCTTTTCCCTATCTTCCTTTGAGAGGTCTTGTCTTATTGACCAAAGTTTGCCATCCTCATCACTCTGCAATTTCTTGGCATTTCTAAACACTTCAATCATGTTTTCCATTCCATTAAAAGTCACCCTTAAAGAAAGAAAGATCTTAAAGAAAGGTCCTTGTCTTTCTCATATTTTCCTATTCTTCTAAAATCACTGATATTTTCCTTTGAGCCTAAACCTACTATTTTCTCTATGATTTTCATCTCTTTTGCTGCTCGGTCCACCCTAGATGAAATTTCCTTCTCTACACATCCAAAAATTATTATGGACTTACTTCTATCTACAGTGTTTTGAACTAGTTTACTGTTGGTAACCAGTTCTTTCCTAATTGCTTGCCTAATTTCTGCTTCATGTTGGTGGTACCTATTTACTGCTAGGTAACAGGGGCATAGGGTGAAAGAAACTCTGCCCATAGTTTCTCGTATGTGTGTGTGTGTTTGTGTACATGTTAAAAAAAAATTTTTTTAAATTTCTTACATATAAAGTTTCAAGTGCTGTAATAATCAAAAAGTTTAGATTTTGTAACAATTTTTTTTTATAGAAATGCATTTTATATTATTATATATAAAGAAGGAGCTAAATATGCTTTAGCTATATATGTTAAAGAAGCACTTAATATTATTACTTACTTTCTCTCTTTTATGCGCCTTTCTTTTTTTCCGTTTTAATCTACGTTTTTTACGCCTAGTCTCAATACGAATGCGGATTCGCTCTGTGGCCCTGGTTCGTGGAATGAGACGGGGCTGCCGAGATGAAGAGCGCCTACAAGAGAGGCTGCTTCTAGAAGAGCTTGAATGGGCAGTGTCACCCTCTTGCCTACTTGAAACCTAAAGGAGAGAAAAACCGCACTAGTCATGTCAAATATTTACATTTAGATTAAGCTTACTGTGAGACAAGACCAGAATCTGACTCTCACTAGTAGATGAGGCAACAATTATTTGCCAGGCTTTCTTTATGGTTATTAATGTCGAAGTAGTTGCTCGTTTTGATGAGCTTTTAATTTTTAACTAAAAATTCAATTTTTAAAACCATTTTTTTTAAAACCATAAAACCAATTTTACATTTATTTTACAAATACATAAATACCAATTTTTAATTGGTTTTATGTTGATCTCTGATCTCCATGCATTCCCTTGCCTTATAGAGCGCTAGGTCCTGGTCCTGGCTTCCAATAGGCTCCACTAGATTTCAGATGCCTGGTGTAAATCCATAAACCTGAGAGAATCTCCAAGAAAAAAATATCAATATACTACAGTAGCACCTCGATTAACAAGTTTAATCCATTCTGGCACCGAGCTCGTTACGTGGAAAACTTGTCTTAAAAAACAAATTTCCCCATTTAAAATAAAGGAAATAAATTTAATCCGTTTCACTCCCAAAAACATTCATACTTGTATGACATTTTTTAATGTAAATATAAGTCTCAGCTCAGTGCCTAGCGGAGAGAGAACCTCGTATCCTATGGGTCCAAAACCCGGATTTCCCCGCACTTCGCCCTGATGGCATCACCATATACTCCTGGAAGGAGAGTAGACAGTTGGTGTGAGACTACACATGTGTATCTACCCTGGCTGACACCTATGTACACCTCGGAGTTGATCAAGCAGGTGAGGCGGCCAACCAGTGAAATAGCACAATCAGCCGAATACAGGCGATTGGAAGGTCGATACACCTTTGTTCCCATAGCGTCTGAGACGCATGGCCCCTGGGGAAAAGAGTGCCTTGGGATTTCTCAAGGAATTGGGCTCCAAGCTCATTGTTGTCACCAGAGACCCAAGAGCTGCCAGTTTTTTGTTTCAGCGCCTCAGTGTGGCAATCCAGATGGGAAACGCCTGCTGCATTCTCGGTTCCTGTCCGGAAGCGGAGGAGCTTCAAGAGATCCATAACCTTTAAGCACTCTTTGTATCAACCAATGTATATCATGTAAACTTTAAATACATAATAAAGCAAACAAAAATACTGCACATGTAATTATAAATGTTTTATTGTACTGTTTTCATTTTTACTTTACCTTATGAACAGTCGTTGCTGGCTTGAGGGAGATGATGGGGTGGTGGGAAGGAGGAGAGGGGTTATGGTGTGGAAGGAGAATCCACCTCTGAGTCAGGCAGGCTCTCTCTTCTTGGGAATTTCACCCCACTGGGACCGGGTTGTAATGTAATTACCTAAGTGTAGTTACAGGATGAGAGCTATGCTCGTGATGTCTCGTCTCCTCAGCACTCTTTGTCATATAATGCTTTGAAATTACTGACAGTTTTGGCCTCCACCACCTCCTCACCTAACTTGTTCCAACCGTCTACCACTCTGTTTACAAAAGTGAATTTTCTTATATTTCTCCGGCAGCTTTGTTTCGTTAGTTTAAATCTATGACCTCTTGTTCTTGAAGTTCCAGGTCTCAGGAATTCTTCCCTATTTATTTTATCAATTGTGTATGTTTTTTATTGCGATTTCAGTGATACCAAAATTAACGCTGTAGCACAACTGTGGGCTTCACAACCATTAAGAGAGTGGGAACATTTTGTTGCTGTTTGGCGCTCTCGGCAAGTGATCTGAATAGGTTTTTATTTGGTGTTGATATGCCTTATGCTTTGGCGGCATTTTATAGGTATGTTCTTATAGACAATTCTATTGCGAACACAGTGATACCAAATTTAAATATGTACGCCTACAATTAGTGTCAGGACAGTCAAAAAGAGTATACACTTTTCGGTCTTACCGCTTAGGCGCGCGAAACGCCGATATCACAAGGGGTAAGTTTTTTTTAGAACACAGTGAGCACCAAAGTGTTAATTCTATAAAATCTTCTGCTTCGTTATTCCCTGTTCTGTTAATCCAGTTTATTCCACTAAAATTAAAGTCACCCATGACACAAATACTGTTAGACCTAGATGCTCTAGATATTTCATCCCATAGATGCTTTGCTTCCATTCTGTCTAAATTTGGTAGCCTATATATAACTTTTATCATAAGATTGTTTGCTTTTTCGTTTAATTCTATCCAAAATAGTTTGTGTGGGGCTCAGTTTTTATTTCCTCTTTGAAACTACATTTCAAATTTTCCATAACATATATGGCTACTCTCCCTCCTCGTCTAATATGTCTTTCTGTGTGAAATAGTTTAAATCCATTTGATATTCAGCTAATAGTTCTCTATTTTCTACATTCATCCACGTTTCGGTAAGTGCAATAATATCTATTTTTTCTGTACAGACAAGAGAATTTAATTTGTTTATTTTGTTTCTTAGACTTCTACTGTTAGTGTAATATACCCTAAGTGTATTGATATTTTGATGCCCTTCTCTTTCCCTGATCATTTTGCCAATTTCTTTTTCCCACAAACACATACTTTTATTACCTCCTTCCTCCATATCAATTCCATACCTCTATTTACTAACAGTTTAAACCCAAACACCTCCAACCACTGGTTCCAACGAGTTCGCAACAACAACCCCAGCCCTCGATAGATGGACCCCATCCCGAGCATACATTTCATTTCTTCCATAGAAGTGTTCCCAGTTATCTGTGAAAGATATTGCATTTGATTTGCAATATCTTTCCAGCCGGCAATTGACACCAAGTACCCTCGACAACCATTCATTTCCAACTCCCTTTTTTGGAAGAATGCCACATATGATCGGGATTCCTCCCTTGCTCCTAATTCTATGGCTGTTTTATACCTCTGAATCAGTTCCTCACTCCAAACTCAACCATCATCATTTCCTCCTGTGCTAATATAAATAATGGGATTGTTCCCATTTCCAGCCATAATATCATTCATGTTGTTTATAATATCACCAATTCCAGCTCCCGGATAGCAAACCCTTAACCTATTCCCCCTATTTCTAGCACAAAATGTTCTGTCTAAATACCTCACCTGGGAATCTCCCACAACCAAAATTTGCTTAGGTGCCTCCTTTACTTTCTGAGCACTTTGAGGGGCCTACGCTTCGTTGCTCTTCGTTGATTTCCCTTTCGAGTGAACTGCAGGCTCACCACATCACTCGTCTTCCAACAAGGCAAATGAATTTGAAGTCCTTAGGGCATCTGTAGGCGGCCTTATCAAGGTAATCTTAAGACCCTTGTCCTTTACGACTTTCCACAAGGTCTTTTTAATACTGTATTGATCTCCTCCTTCGTTTCTTCTCGATGTTGTTTCAGCTGTCGTACCTCCTCCCATAGGGAATCCATCTCTGCTCTCAGAGCTCCAACTAGGTTCATCAGTTCCTTCACCACACCTTCCATTATTGCAATGATAATATTACTACAATCGGAGCTCAAGCTAACACAACTGAAGGAGAATAGGAGCTGCCTCATAAGGCCCAAGAGGCCTGCTGCAATCATCTGTGTACTGATGTTCATATATTCGCAGCTAGAAACCACAAACCAGCGCCTGGCTGAAAGAGACGTCAGACCGCAAATACTCGCCTGCAGAATGTAGGCACGAACGTGTCACGACACAACGTAGCCGAGAAGATGTCGGGAGCCAGTGGAAGTCAGCTCCCCCCTTCCCCCTCCCGGGGTGGGGGGTAGCTGTGCAGACAGAGGTGTGGCAATGTGTGACGTCATGTTCGTTTCTTTTTGGGGAGTTCTGTCCACTTGTTCGACTTTTGGTAGCAATTTTCACCAGAATAGGGGTTTGTTTTGGGACGCTTACCTCTCTGGGTGTCTGACTCGGTCAATGGCAGACATAGAATGCTTCCAACCACATGGGGGTTTCGATAGACCATTGCTCCCCATGCCTCTCTGAGGGGGCCAGGTTCTGGCTTGTGGTTCCCGGTAGGCCCACAGAACTCCATACACATGACTGATGCCAAAGTCTGACATTAGCATATCAGCCTGGATAAGCCCCGGGGAGCCAAAGGGGCTCCCCCCCCCAGAAATAAAGACAAAATTATCTCAGGCTCAGCATCTTAGATTAACTGTACCTAAGACAACTGAATTGCATTACTTACTGTTCCTGGGATACTGACACCAACACAGCATGGACAGAACCATTCCTCCACAGGTACTTGAGAGAGGGGTGGGTTAAGACACTCCAGGTGGTAGCCCAAGTCACACCCATCACAGAGCAGCAGTCGTTCCTCCCTGTCACACTCATTACACACCTGCCAAGGGGTTTATTTGTTATTCACCAAAGTGTAATTATATATTTCACAAGCAATGTTGATTGTCTACTATATAAGTAAAGGAGTTTTCACTCACAGCCTGGGGGACAATAATGATAAGCAGTATACTGTACTCTTTAAAGGGTTCAATTTGCATCAATCATGTATAATAATCATCAAGTCCTCCGTGGTGTAGTGGTTAAGACACTCGCCTAGCGTTTTGTAAGCTCTTTGTCCTGGGTTCGTATCCTGGCCGGGGAGGATTTACTGGATGTCAATCCTTAACTGTAGCCTCTGTTTACTCAACAGTAAAATGGGTACCTGGTTGTACCAGGTACAAAATTATTTGCATTTGAACGATTTGCCAGGGTCGTATTCCGGGAAACATAGAATTAAGGACCTGCCTGAAATACTGTACTACGCATGCTAGTGGATGTACAAGAATGCAAGAACTCTTTTGTATATGTATATTATATATATATATATATATATATATATATATATATATATATATATATATATATATATATATATATATATATATATATATATATATATATATATATATATTTATATATTATATATATATATATATATTTATATATATATTTATATATATATATATTTATATATATATTTTATATATATATTTATATATATATATTTATATATATATTTATAAATATATTTATATATATATTTATATATATATTTATATATATATTTATATATATATTTATATATATATTTATATATATATTTATATATATATTTATATATATATATATATATATATATATATATATATATAATATATATATATATATATATATATATACAGTGGTACCTCGGAATGCGATTGTCCCTGTATGCGAGGTTTTCGGAAGGCGAGGTGTATTTACTCCAAAAATTTGTCT